CGATCCTTAGCAGCTGTTTCCCGGCAATCAGCGGTAAACAGTGACAGAGAGCACAGCTGCCTGTCACTTCCTTGTCAGCTCGAGGACGAGCTGATCGAGACAGAAGAGTTTCTCTCTCTTGATCAGCGGTGTCCTGTGCAGCACACACCCCCACCCCTAGTAAAACACTCCCCCTCACTCAGATAACCCTTCCCTGCAAAATAAAGTTAACCCCTTCCTCCCCATTGCCATTAGTACAGTGTCAGTGTTTTTCTTTTTGCACTGATCACTGTATTAGTGTTTTTGGGGATGTCAGTGACCCCAAGTCAGTACTCCCCAATGTCAGAATGTCCGCTGTAGTCCTGCCATAAGTCGCTGATCGCTGCCATAAGTCACTGATCGCCGCCATTATTAGTATAAAAAAAAAACTAAAAATCCCAGTATCTTTCCCGCCATTTGTAAACGCTTTAACTTTCACGTAAACCAATTAATTTACACGTATTGTTTTTTTTTTTTAGCAAAGACATGTCGCAGAATGCATTTTGGCAGAAATTTATGACTAAATTTGATTTTTTGCATTTTTTTTTTACTGGACATGTTTTATAGCAAAAAGTCCAAAATATTGTTTTTTTTTTCCTCAAAATTGTCAGCCTTTTTTTTATAGCGCAAAAAATAAAAACTGCACAGGCGATCAAATACCACCAAAAGAAAGCTCAATTTGTGGGGGAAAAAAAGGATGTAAATTTCATTTATGTACCGCATTGCATGACTGCGCAATTGTTCGTTAAACTAGCGCAGCGCTGTATAGCAGAAAAATGGCGTAAGTTGCAGTATTTATACCATAGTTTGTAGACGCAATAACTTTCACACAAAGCAATCAATATACACTCATTGGGATTTTTTTTACCAAAAACATGTAGCAGAATACATTTTGGCCTAAATTTATAACCAACTTTGAGTTTACTATATATTTTTTATAGCTGAAAGTAAAAAATATTGTTTTTCTTCAAATTTTTGGCCTTTTTTTGTTTATAGCGTGAAAAATAAAAAGAGCACAGATGATCAAATACCACCGAAAGAAAGCTCTATTTGTGTGAAAAAAAGGACATAAATTTTGTTTGGGTGCAGCATTGCATAACCCCGCAATTATCAGTTGAATTAGTGCAGCGCCAAGTAGCAAAAAGAGGCCTGGTCATTAAGGGGGGTAAATCCTCTGGAGCTCAAGTGGTTAAAAATAGTAACACTCACAGAGATTGAAGAGAGACTCAGTATAAGAAAAACACTGCAGCTACCTTTGTCAGACAGGATGACATCACTGACCAGGCCCTGACCTACGCGTTTCGTCAAACAGACTTTGTCAGGGGAAGAAAACTAGCTAGCGAAAACTACCCTTAGAATTAAATACAATTGGAATAGATTTAACCCTATGCTATTGCTATTATTACACACAATGCAACACAAAGGATTATCCCTATATAAGGAATAACCTATCCATGTAAAAAGGTATTACCAATTAATAATGTGTAAAATTTGCAAATAAACAAAAAACAAATGCTGATCTAATACAAATAAAAATAGTTGCGCCATCTAGTGGATAAGAAGTAGATTACTTACTCCAAAGGAAAAAAAAAAATCAATATAAAAGTTAATTGATTGTTCTGCTCTACAAACTTCTAGTTTCAAGAATAATTCTGCCCAATCCTAAAAATGTGATTGAATCACAATACCACTAGGAATCAACTTAGGAAATGGATTGGGATCTTCATTGCAGGAAAACTTCACCCTTGAATCAAACAGAACAGATGATTTCACTTATTCAATATATCATAGAAAATAACCTAAGTATATTATCTGTATGAGAACTGGTTACTACTAGTGATGCAATAAGAAATACAGAAAGAAGTAGGTAAAAAACAGATGAGCCACCAGAAGCGAAGTAAACAAGGTTAAGTAAAACACATAAATGGTAATAAAATGTACTCCCAATTTACAGAAGCTATGAGGCAGCGTCCTGGTCCCAAGCTGTCCTTATTCACCCATAGCCGTTTATTAAAGATAGGTTGTGATCCACCTCTCCATTTTAAGATGAATACATATTAGCATTCAAGTATCAGAACGCAGAATACTTTTCCAACTTTTACTGTGTCTATAAAATTATACTCTACAAGTTTTTAGGTTTTGTTAATCACTCCTTTTTTAAAGTGAACATCAAGTACATATTTAATTATATACTGTAAGTATATTTAAATGAGCACTGGAGGTCTCAATGGAGAATAAGGTAAATTCATGCAGGAAGGCTAGAGATAAAAAAACAATGTATCTGCGTGGGTCTCCAAACAGCAACCACAACTTCTAACAATGAAAATGTTAATAGCTTCATGAAGGATAGACTTAATGATAACTTATACAAATCAAAATCAAAATGCTTTTTGGCACATCACATTCATTGACTATAGATTTTTGAACATTATTTGTTGTACGGCCGACAACTCAATTAATGAAGGATTTATGAGTTACTTAGATTACTCTAAGATTTAGGATATACAGTATACACAATAGTAAAGGCAAAAGAACATAAGACACATTATATTTATGTGGACTTTAGGCAGCTGGATTCCTAGGAAAAGGGTTGTTTCTTTGGACAAATTAACTCTGGATGAATTATGTATTGTATATTTGTATTGGGACTGGGGGGTGGGCTGTTTTCCAAGTGACTGCAAGCCGATCAGGTTTTTCTGGACTACACTAGGCACTAAGAACAGGGTAACACGCCCTGCACATGGGGTACCTTTGCTGCGTCATACTCAATAATTCCCCAGGACAAGGCGGGGACCACTTTCGGGGAGATTCAACCTTAAGGCAGTCCTCCAACTTAGAAATGGCCGTACACTGTGTACACTGAGCAAATAAACTGGACTCCAATTAGCTTTCTGGTCCCATATCAATGCCCACCTTGAATGTAACTGCTTGCAGTTAGGAGGAACAGGCTGAGCCTATGCCCATTCCGCCCATATAGCGTATCTCTGTCATCTCACTTTCAGTGACAGAACGGGGTTCCACCGTGCACTTAGTGGCGAAATCATGCATGAGCTTAGCTAATTCATCCTCTTCCATTCTTAGTGGCCAGGCCGAGGACTTCTGTGGTGCTGATCTGCTCTCATAGCTATGGGAGACAGACTGCTTGGGAAGGGAGCCACAGAAGCAACCCCCTCTCTGCTAGAGGACACTCCGCCTATCACCGGTACCATGCTTCTCGACAGGCTGCTTTTACTGGTTACTATAGACTTTCATTACTCATGGCACCTACTTTCTGTACCATGTTAACTCTTGCAGAGCTGTCTTCACACCCCAACGTACTTTACTGGCCCAAGCTGCAGAAGACTATATGTAGAGTGCTGGTTACTTTCATACACTCCTTTGTATAAATTCAGACCAGGCATTGAAGCATTTCAATGCTTTACTAATGCAACTTCAGTATAACAGTTGTGGAGGGCAAACAGTTTTTCCTAACTGACCCTACAACTGAGGCTGCTCCAGCATACCTGCACAAGTGAGCGTCCATTCTAGGCATAGTCCATGTTGACAGAATCTGGATGCTTGTGTCTTCAATGGCCAACTTGGCCATGGAAGAGAATAGGCAGGCCCCGAGCACACTGTAACAGCCAATGGATAAAAATCCAGCATCCAGACCCCTGTTCCTTTTGTAATGCCACAGGATCAGCAGGACTGATCAGGACTCAAAAAGTCCTCCAAGAAACTCAGAGAGCTGCAGCAATAAATCAACTCCTACCTCCCATAGGGGCAGGCATACTAGCTGACTACCGTAGGCAACCTGCCAAAATATTTTTATGTGATCAAGGATATTTACATATATATGATCTCATGAACTAATAAAGTTAATTCAGGTGTATAAGTTATAATTGATAAAGTTTATCACGGGCCTAAGATATGAACTATGCAGCTTCACAACCCAAGCACTGTAACATTCTAGGCTCTTGCTGGGATTTTTTCAGCCCTGGCTTTATGATAACTTATTGCTATTGTAATATTAAGTTAATATTATATCTATTCATAGTACTTTTATATAAAGGAAACTTATATATAGAAAAATATAGATGCTATTACTAATGATTTTAACATTTAATTAGACACTGTCCCCTTGGCCATGCAGGGCAAAATGAAAATTAAGTTACAGTGGTTCTAAAGGCAGAAGGATTTTTACCTTAATGCATTCTCTGCATTAAGATAAAAACCTTCTGCCAGCAGCACAATTCCCCCCTTCCTGCAGCTCACCGTTCCTAACTAGGCCTGATCTCGATCCAGTGATATGCACGAGAGCAGAGGCTCTCTCGGTTCTCTCCTTCCTCGTTAGCTCAGACACAGCTGTGGGAGACATTGGTTTGTTAATCATTGCCAGTGAAGAGGGGGTCGGGTCCGAGACACGCTCTGTGTGTCTTATAAATACACAGAGCCTGCTCGGGAGCGAACATGCATGGGTGTCCCCATAGTGAACAGCTTGCTATGGGGGAACTCAATGGGGGCGGAGGGGGGCCATGAGCATCGGGGGGACTCAAGAAGAGAATTGGGGATTTCTCTGTGCAAAACTACTGCACAGAGCAGTTAAGTATGGCATATTTGTTATTTTTTTTTTTTTTTAATGTATCCTTTACAATAACTTTAATTTCCAAAGCAAAAAGCCTGTTCATTTTGCAAAGGAATTTTCCTTTAGTGAATGCAATGAAGCTCTCATGACTTCCATCATCTAATCATATGCAAGCAAAAATACTGTTTTTTTTTTTTTCCTCCTAGCACGTAATTGGGTAATACTTGCAAAATGCACTTTCACTACATTCACCAAGATAAGAAAAATGAACAGCCTATTTGTCTTTAGTAAATCAACCCTAGTGTCTCTGAAAAGGGCCCCAACCCCTTATGTGTAGCTTACCAGTGATCTCTCATCACTCCTTCCTTCTCTGAAGCTGGAACTAAAATGGCTGGAGCAGGGGCGGATTGACAACTCATGGGGCCCCAGGGCAAGAGGGGATCATGGGGCCCCTGTGTCCTTGCCCAAATTCAAAAAGCCTATGAAAAAGGTACCAGGGGCATCTCATGGGGCCCCCTACTGACCCCGGGCCCTCGGGCAGTGCCCGAGTTTCCAAATGGTCAGTCCGCCCCTGGGCTGGAGGCAGTGACCCAGGGGAGAGATGATGCCACTCTTTTTTTATGTAATGGTTGACTACTAAACCTAAGCACTATCACAGCAGAGAAGGTCACAGGTTCCTCCATAAAGATTTGCTGTGTATTCTGGACAGCTCAAAAGGGGAAAAAAGCAGTGGGGGGGGGAGCAATGGGGGAAAATTGGTAAGGTGAGCATAGGGGGATTGGGGGAGCCCTTTGCAGACACTCTTGGCAAGATGATGGTGTCATTTTAAAAATGCTAGTGGCGGACTGCCATTCTTATCAATTAACTAAGAATGTGTTGAAGCCAGAGATAGCAACTAGTATTTCCAGAAGAAGGTAATCAATGACAGTTTATATCACCCTGTGCAGGCAGGGCACTATTTAAACATCTTGCTCCCTAGCCCCATTTGAAAAACAATGCCCTTTGGTACCCAATCTGATTCCATTGTCATAAAATCATTGTAGTAAAAATAATTAGCATAAGGAGTTATTGAGAAGCATGCCAGAGGACTGCATGTGACCCTTTGGTACTGTGCAACCTTCAGGCTCCAGCAGCTGGTGTTTTCCTTGGCTATTCGCTTACTCAAGAACAATGATGAAAAATATGTATTAAATTGATTTCTACTAGGTATATAATTTGATTTAATTTTCTTCAAAAGTTCTTACTTTTTTTAGTGTGGCTATTTTTTTTTTTTTTTTTGCAATGTTTTACCTCTGACCTACAATATTGTAATGGATCTTGTTGAGAGAAAGATTAAATGTGGCACCAGGAATATTTTAAAGGTGCTGTAGAAAATCTTAAATTGTAAAGGAACTGTAATGATAGTATTAAAACAAATAACTGTGCTGCGCTCCTATATTAATGGAAATAAACTATAAAAACAGTGTAAGTCCTTACAATATATTATCCAAACAGTACACAAAATTACTTGAATGATCCCTTTAGGATATAGAGAAATATTAGTGTAATAACATTATTATGTGTCCAATATCAATAATAAAGTGAAATCCTCCTTTTCTGAGAGATGGGTACAAATAGGTAAATTCACTCCAACATATAGATGATTGCGGTATATATGAAGCTCAATTATGTGCTCACCTCCATTTTTAGCCCAAAAATACAGGCTAAACAAGCTGTTTATCCTAAAAGGATAAAATGTGCACTGATGTTCACCACCTTCTTTGAACATGTTCACAGCGTGATTTCCTGATTATCCACCTGGTGTCTCTCCTCTCATTACTATCCTATGCAGATCTGTGGAATTGATTCCCCCTGATGAAGCCACGTGACCGGTGGAGTAACGCGTAGGGGAGGGGCTCTGATGTCACCACGCCCAGTCGGCTTCTATACGGTGAGTACAGCTAGTGTGCGGTGCACACAAGGAGATATGCTTTAAGGCTTGTTTTAACTATTAAAATGTGAGTGCAATACAATGGCTATGCAATAAAGTGTTTTATAAGGGTAAAGCACTATCTTTTGTTCTTTTTTTTGGCATTATATGTGTGGAGACTTCTGGAGTGGATCTAGTAGGATTATTCCCCTTAGAAACTTCTGAAGTGGATCTAGGAGGATTATTCTTTTTGGGCTAAAAATGGAGGTGAGCGCATAATTGAGCTTTATATATACCGCAATCATCTATATGTTGGAGTGAATTCACCTATTTGTACCCATCTCTCAGAAAAGGAGGATTTCACTTTATTATTGATATTGGACACATAATAATGTTATTACACTAATATTTCTCTATATCCTAAAGGGATCATTCAAGTAATTTTGTGTACTGTTTGGATAATATATTGTAAGGACTTACACTGTTTTTATAGTTTATTTACATTAATATAGGAGCGCAGCACAGTTATTTGTTTTTATATAGATTCTGACACTATTTATGAGTTGGTGTGATGTGTTTGCGAACCTATTTGTGCATTTATAATAAGGTGATTTAATTTTTATTATTTTTGATTCAAGACACATTTATTAATTTTTTTATTTATATATACTTTTTTGTATTTCACCTATTTATAGAAATTCACCATATTAGCTCACGAGTAATAATTAGCATTTGATTGAACTGTAATGACAGTGACCTTAGCAGTCTCTTGAGACATATCCCTGGTCTTTGACAGCTTTGTTCTTTAAGTCCATAGTCTCCAATCACGCCTTTAGTCTGTCTGCAGTATTCTGTGTCATGCCCACAGTCTCTGGCTATCGACTGTACTGTGTTTGATAGATATATAGATAGTGTACAACAGAAACATTTGTTTCTTTTCAGTTTCATTTGTTAAGTAAATCATTTGGTTTCACCATATTCATTATGTTAGAATGATTTGTTTTTGGAATGATTCGTTATTTCAGGAGAGTATATATTCTTTGTTCTGAATCGATTCATATTTTCAGAAGTTCTTTCATTCTTTCTTTATTTTGGAAGACTGGCTATATTCTTTTTAATGTTAATTTGTTATTTCAGGAGATTTCTTATGCACTCTGAGTCATCCCTGTTAGGCCAACAGAGAAAGAAAAATGGAATGAGCTGTTTGGACAATATTGAATGGAGTAACAAAAGTAACAAAGAGAACAAATTTAATTTCAGATTTATTTGTTATGTTATGATTTGGAGATTCTGATGGATCCACCTCCATTCAACTCAAACACAATGGGTAGGAATCATCTTATTTAACTTTTATACCTTATTGCATTTATTGCAATATGTTTCCATTTCATATGTAGTGCATTTTTTATAATAATGAAAAATAAATTGGCTGATTATCCAAGAGTCAAAGACTACAGCGTGAATCCAGATCAATACATAATCGTTATATCATTAAATTGAACTAATTTCCCCATTCCCAACTGACTTTGTTGGGCATTGCACATACAAGTTATCTCTCAAGTTCAACCCAATACAAAAAGAATCCTATTAGTATATTTACGCTACAATCACTAGAATAAAAATGAATGGATCTGAATGAAGTCATTATGTTGTTATTCTTCAAATATTAACAAAATGCCCAAACTATTGCATCATGTCATCTGAATGAAATGAATGAATATGAATTCATTCATTATTTTCATTGCAATTTATTTCAGATTCATTGAAATTCATTACTATTGTGATTCCGATACATTCAAATCTCAGAATCATGAAAACTTTGTCCGAATTTAGATTTGTAACAAACAACCTGCACATGTTTAATGTCTGGTCCTTGACCATTTTCTGTAGCAAAAAAGGCACTAAACAATATTTGCTGCCATTTGGTGATGTCAGCAGCCACACTTGAGGATCCTTGTATCAAGTAAATTGACCATTACTGCCCTCGATACTTTTCACATCCCATTATGGTAAATATAGACATGAGTGCAGGTTTATTTTAAATATAATTATTAGGTATTACTATATTCATCTTTTATCACTTCATGAAACAAAACATGTTCAGTGAGCTGTATTATACATGCAAAACATCTTATAAATAAACATAATGTTATTTCAACTATTTATAGTTCCATCATTCATGTTGTTCATACAGTATGTGTTGAATCCCATTTTCACGTCTTAGAATAACATCTAATTACTATTAAAACTTTGTTCCTAAATGTTGCACAATACACCAGTTTTTTTTTAAACTTAATCTTTACTAGTTTTATGGACCAGTGGTCCAGGAAGATACAAAATGTACGAAAGAAGAAAGAACCTAGTGCAGATTATACACCAAAAGGTATTGAAAACAATCCTGAGAGATACTGCAATGACAGGTATGCTGTATCACAGTTTATGAGATGTATGTGGATCACCCCCTCGGTCTCCGCCCTAATCACACACCTACTGAGCGACATATCAGACTGGATGTTGCTCCACTTCCTTAAACTGAACCTCTCCAGAACCGAGTTTCTTGTCTTCCCCCCAGCCCGGACATCACCCCCCATTGACCTCTCCGTCACATCCAACAATGCCACCATCAAACCCGCCCCGCAGGCCAGAGTACTTGGTGTCATTCTGGACTCCAACCTATCCTTCCAGCCTCAAGTCCAATCTTTAACAAACTCGTGCAGACTCCACCTCCGCAACATCGCCAAAATCCGCAGGTTCCTAACCCCAGAAACCACTAAACAGCTCGTCCACTCCCTCATCATATCACGACTCGACTACTGCAACTCCCTCCTCACTGGCCTGCCTCACCGCTGGCTATCCCCGCTTCAGTTGATCCTGAATACGGCTGCCAGACTCATTCACCATTCCAACCGCTTCATCTCCGCCACCCCCCTCTGCCAATCCCTCCACTGGCTTCCGATTGCGCAACGGATCAAATTCAAAATCCTAACGCTGACGTACAAAGCCGTCCACCATACTGCCCCGAACTACATCACCGACCTAATATCCAAGTACCGCTCAACACGCACACTCCGCTCCTCACAAGACCTCCTTCTCTCTAGTTCCCTGGTCTCCTTCTCCCATGCCCACCTCCAGGACTTCTCCAGAGTGTCACCCATCCTCTGGAGCTCCCTGCCCCAACCCATCAGATTATCACCTACTCTCCTCTCCTTTAGGAGCACCCTGAAAACCCATCTCTTCAGGGAAGCCTACCCCAATCCCCTGCTAACCTGCTAACCTCCTCCACTCTTCCTACCACTCCATCATCCACAGCTATCTCCTCCTGTACCACCATCCCCTCCCTCCTAGATTGTAAGCTCGAAAGAGCAGGGCCCTCAATCCCCTCATGTTTTGCATTGTATTGGTATTGTTCTGTCACATGTTCTGTCCCCCTTTGTAATGTACAGCGCTGAGCGAACCATTGGCGCTTTATAAATACTGTATAATAATAATTATTACAATCATGGGGTATATAAGCAAAAGAGAACGTGTTATAGGCTGGATGGGTTAATAGATATGCATTTATGCCAATGGCCAGCTAGGCTTGTACTCAAATCTCCTTGTCCCCTCAAGGAAGTACGGTTCAAGAATAGGGAAAGATATATCAGGTAGGGTGAATAGAACATTTAGG